CCCTCTTGTCGAGTCTCTTGCAGCCACTTGACAATCTCGAGATGTCCGTTCCCTGCTGCTTTATCCATCGCCGTTGAAGTGGCGTAGCCAGCATTACCCTGCAGCCACTTCAGCACATCCAAGTGACCATTTGCAGCGGCGTCGTCCATCGATGCCGACGGCGAGGAACAAAACATGTTGCTCCTCAGCCACCGCAGCACGTCCAAGTGCCCTCCACTTGCAGCCAACATGGCTGCATGAGGCGACCACTCTCCCCGGACGTCACAGAGCCACTTGACCATATCCAGGTTGCCATTTCTTGCGGCTTCCTCTAGCGTGACGAAAAACATGTGTGTCGGCATTGGGTTCGTGTGTTCCTGGAGCCATTGGACCACATGCAAGTGGCCATTTTGACCAGCATAAAAGAGCTCTTTCGCTCCCCAAAACACGTCCAACGAGCGTTCACCCAGCCTTCCGTCCCCATTGTCTCGTCTGCTGTTGCTGTTCTCGTGGAGCCACTGCAACACCTTCAAATGTCCGAATTTCGCTGCTGCTTCCACTGCGAGCGTCACGTAGCAGCCTGGAAATTGAGCGACAAGCCACTTCATGACTGGCAAGTCCCCTCTCGCAGCTGCACGAGCCATGCCGCACGTAAACTGTCGTTGTCGAAAAAATGGGTCTTTCTTTTCATAAATTAGCAACTTGACCGACGCGTATTTTCCTCCATTTGCCGTCCAGATTTGCAATTTTTCAGCAGTAGACAAAAGGGTTTGAGCACGTGCGACCAGTAAAGCGTCACGCCTGGCGACACGCTGGACGAGACGGAGGGCGCTTTCATTGTGACTGGCAAAGCCGCAGGCGTTCGGGAGTGTCCAGTGCACCGAGTGATCGAGAAAAGTGCTTATGATGGCATTAATGTGGGACAAGGCGGCAATGCGCTGATGTGTGCGGCTGACGACCGTCGCAGAGGTTAGGGGAACCTCACACACGGTCATTCGAGGGGGTGTGTCGCACGGCGGAAAATCGAAAGTGAGGGAGATGGGACCGACCGACGGGACGTCGTCGCCTTTTGTGATCTTTCGTGGGCGAGAAAAACGCTTTTTTTCGGTATGACCGTCTTGGTGGAGGAAGTGAGTTGGATTGTGGTATGTATGTTGTGGGAGAGCCCAGATATGACAGATCAGAATGTGTTTTGGACGAGGTGGAGGGGTACGGTCGATGCTGTTTGCCCGGCATGAACATGTTACTCGAAAATCTGCATCGGATCTAGTTGTGGTAACTTTCTATTGGTCGAAACGCGAGGACCGTCGCGGTTGAGCAAACACCACTTATCGACGAACTGGTAGACTGTAACTCTCAGCGGTTGACCGTAGCCTTTTGCCTGTACGACGTTGATGATTGATACGTCATCAGTAGCTGATACGAGCAAGAGAGTCGATGACGAATCTGATATTTTAACTCAGGAGCCCACGATAGAGCTACAGAATTCGTGTTCATTCCTCAGCCAGAACTTCCCTTTCAGCTGTAACATGCAGTAAAGGCTTTGAAAAAGAATGAAAGCACGCAGAAAGCGAGTATCTGGTAAGTAAGCGAAAGACAAACTTCTGCACCTTTTGTGATTGGCACCGACGTCTCTTGTCCCAATAAGTCGACACTCGATGAACAGACCAAACGAATCCAATGATGACGATACTTGGCCCGTCCATGCGGGTGGTACCAGCTGCTTCTACGGAAACTTCAGATTTAGAGCTTTCTGAAGAAAAAGGATCTGCGCAATGAATGGCATTGCGTTTAACTGCACCGCACTGAATTAGTGCACGTACAAAAAATGTAAAACAGATTTAAGGCATGAAGGCTAGCTATAAAGCATGTATTGTTTTATGGCTGGCCTTCATGCCTTAAAGCTTTTTTATGAACCTGCAAACAGACACGTAGGTAAAATGCTGATGCTGCGCATGCCTCCAAATTATATAGAGTCTGGCACATTGCGAGATGTTACTCGATGCTTCGGTTGCGGAGAAGAGCCAAGTGATGTAGCCAATGATTAGAATACGGGGCGCATGCATACATCGCGTGCATCGAAATTTGCTCGCGTGTGCGCGTCTCAGTTACGCTGCCCGTTCGCATACATTGTGACTGTTACAGTATCTTAACACGCATTCGCTCAGTGCATGATTCGGCCACAAAATGCTGTTCGAAAACACAAAACACGCACCTCCCTGCTCAATCGACTACAGCACACTGCTGGACTATCGTCACTTTGCGGCACATGTTATTCGGCAACTTCTCCATCAATTTCTCGTGTCCAGCGTATGTGTTACCCCACACTACAGATAGTTGAGAGCTTTGGCACACAGCGCATCGGTTGTCACATTAAGCACGGGCAGACAAGCCCTCCATATTTCTGCTGGTCAGGATTGTACTTGGCAGCCAATTTCAATTTCATGGACATCATATCCAGCATTCATGCCTGCATGTTTCGACATGCTATCAAACATAAACAGCTGTGATGTCGAACAGTCCTTACGTTGAGCACGACGCAAGTAGTCGTCCTAGACGGTGGTCGCTCAGCAGCGTCTCCATAAGCTGCTTCAGCGCACGATTTGTATGGAGCTGCGACTTGACCAGCGGTGCACGCGTCAAGGGATCGAAACATCCATTCACTTCAAGATGCTGCTCAATCATAGAGCGCTCATACGTATTGCCGTCAGGTGTGGTAACCGGATCATCCATCAGTTCCAAGCTCAGCGGACAATGGAACACTTCCACCATCTGTGCTAGTGTTTTCGAGGCATCTTTACCTGCTGCCAATTCCTGCTCCTCACGGACACTATTATCATCAATCAGTGCAGCTTCGTCCCCGTTCTCCTCGACAGAAAGCAAAATGTCGTAGACTCCTTGACGTAGCAGCCCCACCACCTTCATCTCCATAAGGATAGATCGTTTCAATACTGTAGCAGTCATAGGTACACCAGCCGCTGACGATCGTGAGCTCACAGCAGCTGCCGATGCTACGCTTGCACGGTCAAATGCCCTTTCTAGCAATTGAAAAGCTTCATCGTACATCTTATGAGCTCGACGACACTTGCCTTTCCAAAGTAAAATAGCAGCCTCACCCTCGACCGACACATTGGTGATGTCTTGTGCTATACTCAAGTATTGCCACGCATTCTCGGTTTCATCTAACGCAAAGAAGCATTTTGCGCATGATACGTAAGCACGAACACGTTGACGGGTTGTCTCGGAGTCTTCTACGCTGCAGTCTTCAAATGACGAAGAAGCAATGGTCGAAGTACACGTTGCAGCCTCCCGGTAACATACAATCGCAGCTTGAAAATCTCGGCGGACGAACAGGTCATCGCCCTTTGAAAGCTGGTGGCGCATGAAAAAAGGGTTCTCAGGTGACGTCGCGATCTCAATTGCCTGAATTTGCAGTTCCGGCGATGAGCTTGCCATGACCGCAAGATAGTTCGCGTTTTCCTCCCACAAGTGTGCAAGTCCGTGAAAAATAGCAGCTTTATCGCCACCTAGTGCTTGAATGGCTTGAAAGTCTGGGGCCACTAGGTCGAATCTTCGAAGACGCAAATTTGCCGTCATGCGGTACGCAAAGCACTTGACATGTTCAGTATTGTCTGGCAGATCATCTAGGGCAAGGGTAAGCTGCTCGACTGCTGCGGGGTATTGCTTGGCAAAGAACGCTTCTACGCCTCGTTCCATTGGCGATTGTTGCGCCGGAGCAATACGCCAAGCACACCACATCGCTCCTCCTTCCTCTGCCGGTGTTTCGCTACCCCCATCCGGCGCAGTTCGCGTGAGTACGTGACGTCTCTTACTGTCCATCACATCTGCTGTCGGTGCGTACAAAAACTCGCGCTGATACGGATTGTACAATGCAAACACATCTCTCTCCTCGATACTCAGTGCGACAAGCTGCCACTTTCCCGCTTGTCCAGGCAATTCAGCCGTTTTTCTCCACGTAAACACGCGACTTCTCGTCTTCCCACGTCCATCCTTTTTGAACTTCGCATAATCTGCAGCATACAGATACTCTTCGAACCGTACACTTTGCACCAGGAACGTATCAGCATGCACGTCCGAGGGGATCAACCGCCACTGTGCTTTGGTCCGATCTTTCTCTGCTGGCCACGGAGCGACCAAGTGCTCTGTCTCGTCTCCCACCCAGCACAACGCATGGCGTCGGTCGTTATCAAATGTTCCAGCGTCACCAGGAGCATACAAGAGCTCTTCTTTGCTGGCATCACCAACACAATACTCACTACGTCCAGTTCTTGACAAGATCTTGAGCTCCACCGGCTGTCCACAGGCCACCGCCCGCAGCGTGGGACTCACCCACGCGTACCAATAGCTCTCCGCTCTCACCCGGGCACTGCCTTCCAAGTGGCTCATGAGTTTCAACAGGAAAAACGCTAGCGGAAGCTGCGGGAACTTGCGTTGTCTGGCTTCCAGAGCTCGGAGAGCGTCTCCGCCTCCGTCCGCGCTGCTGCTAGGCGCCCGCAACGCGCAGCTCACGCTCTGCAGCACGGCACATCCATCCAGAGTCCAGTGCCAATTGGGCAGCGCCTCCAGGAACGTCAGTAACACAGGAACATCAAACGATCCAGCCGCATAGAAGTCCCGAAGGGTGGCCTCGAGATACACTTTACAGCGCGAATCCAGCTCGGGGAGACGCAGAAAGCTCAAGCGCGCACGGTCCGGCTCTTTGCGGAGAAGATGCGCGCGCGTCTCGGCCAGTAGGGGCTCAACATTTGACGCAAGACGCGCTGCCGCGACGTCGTAAGAGGCCAGCTCCATGGTGACGCTTTGGTTCTGAGAAGATGATTGGGAGTCGAGCTGGAAAACCTACGAAAGAGAATAAAAAGAGTACCGACTTCAGAGCGTTTATCGGAGACTGTGATGCGATAAGGCGACTGACGAACGACTTTTTTTTCGATGACGTTTTTTAGCTTTACAGGTCGTTTGGAGCACTTTTTATTCAAGCGTCCGGTTACTTACGCCTTGTATCAGGAGGAAGAGACTGTGGACAGCACAACCACGTAGAGGAATCCGTCGGCGTATAAAAGATTGCGGTAGAGCTCGACGATGGATACGTCGAGCGGGACAGAGATACCGTGCACAACGATCTGGAAGGAGGCTGGCGGTGTGTTCGATACCGCGTCTGGAAATAGATCCGGCAGTAAATGCTGCAGCACTTCCCGCAGTGTTTTTTCTCGACCTAACGACGACGTCATAGCCGGTTGTTAGTAACGCAAGCACCTTGTTCGAGACGATCCAAGGCGAACAACAACACGATTAACTGCGTACCACTTTCTAATGGCGCTATAGGCATTTGAATCACAGGCGTACTGTCAAGGTGCACCCTTACTGGCAAATGCCGCAGCTTGGAAGTGTCTTCTCCTCCGTCTAAATGCAACTCGATTGTGGCTTCTTGATAACGCTCAAATTCACCTGTCAACAACAAGAACACTTCACCGTTTGTCTCCCGTTCTCTTTTCCAAAGGATACAACACCTCGTACTTTGCAATAGACTAGTCCAGATCTGCGTCTGCTTTGCTTCCGGTAACGACATCACAGCTTTCGTGGACCCCATCCGCAGAAACGTGGCCTGCTTCAGACTGTGCATAAAATGCGACTCAACGCTCTGCTCGTTGTCACACGGCAGCAACACGTCAACAGGAAATCCCAGAAAGTGGACAGTCAGAGCCCAAGGCAAGTCTGTGTCATCCTCAGCTCCAGGACCGCAGAGCAGATCTCGAAGTAGTCCGAACGGCATATGCCAATGCAGCGGGACCCCTTTGGCCTCGAACCAGATGCCACCTTGAATACCGGACAAAAGAGGTGCTGCGTCCTGGAAATACTCGACGACGTCTCGGGTTTGGGACACCAGATAGCTCATACGGGGTACCATGACCTGCGTCACGAACAGATCATAACGATGACAACAATAATAACAACAATAATAATAATAATAATAATAATAACAGCAACAATAAAAACAAACACAATTGTAATTTATCAGTCTTTAACACGGCCATTTTTTTCGTATCAGCAAACGAAGCAACACACACGTAGAACGGACGAGGCGCATGGAGAGTAGTGACTTCATTTGAGTCAAGACTGAAGACGACAGGGATACGGCCGGCCCACACGCGCTGCTTCAGCAGAGTCTCAGACGCTGAGGGTGTTATCGGCATGAAGTCGTAATGGGAGTGACGAAAGGTTGCTGTAAGGTCTGCGCTGAGGTGTTTGATTGCAGCAACTTTATGTGGTCTGGTTACGACATAGCGGAATGGCAGAACATAGCCTCTGGTCATCATACCGTAACTAGAAATAGCTAAATTAAGTTTCGCTTCATTCAAAATATGACATTTAGAAACTTGTCAGCGTGCTCAATATATTCCCACGTGCATCGACGACACTATCGTAGGATGTCGCAAGGTGCGACAGCAACGACATACATGACGTATTGCGGATGTCATTCTAAAAATCCACTCTTAAGTGCGTCTATCGCGCATCGTATTACGATTCCATGATGTAGACGACCAGAAGGTACGTCTGGAAAATATACGGGACACCCTCGTGCTTTCTAGTATGCAGTGTTCATGACATCGTAGATATAAACGTTCCAGCTATTTTCTTACGAGTGCCCGACAGCTCCCTTAGCTCCTTGAATGCCTAGCAGTACCATCATATACACTACGAGCACTTGTGCCATCGCACTGGCCAATTACGCTCATGCATGCCGTCAATCGTACGATCTACATTGCTGACCTAGTTAGACACGAAAAAGGGTGTCGTGGCGTTGTAAGACAGTGAACGACATTTACGATCTGGCTCCGTCGTCAAGCGTATCTTCACAGCAATCCTTCGCGTGGTCGCGACTTGTCGAATGGAATCGTCACTGGCCACCGGAAGCTCATTTCCAAACTTCCTTCGACACACTAAATCGGCCAAGCTTTCCAATGGTCTCGCTATCTAACCTGACGGTCTTCACTGTTGCCACTATACTTGCTGGAGGTATGGGCGACGCCAAGAAGCTCCCAACCGGTGTTTGCTATGCTCCGTGGCACCACGCCATAGTCAACTCGCAAGTTCTCGCCGAGGACATGTTGCAGGTTGCTCAGCACTTCTCCAGTATCCGCACGTACCAGGCGCAGTTCAATGACGTGAACGCCATAGTCATGGCAGCTTCAGCCAACCTTAGCATCGCAGTTGGCGTACAACTGACGGATCCCCGGTGGATTGAAGCCGAGATCAAGGCTGTTTGCGACGGCTATGCGGTACACCCTTCGGCCGTTGAGGCTGTCTACGTTGGCAACGAAAACCTCAAGAACGGGATGGTGGACATATACGCGGTTCGGCAGCTTGTCGACTACATTCGTCGGGTCAAAAGCTGTGTAGGCAACACACCGGTGGGCACGTCTCAGCGTATCAATGAGTGGGTGAGCGCTGAATTTGCCTCGATGTTGGCAGGCGCGTGCGATGTCATCGGTGTCAACATTCATCCGTTTTTCACATTCGGTCCTCAATCTTCCATTCAGAAGTTGCAAGCCCAGTGGGGCCAAATGGTGTCGAAGTACGATCCGAAAAAGGTCCGACTGACGGAGACGGGCTGGCCCTACGCTGGTGAAGCCTATAAGAGTGGACCCTCTGATTGTAATGTCCCCTCGACTGAAGGCATGACACAGTACTTTCACGATTACGTCAACCAGTGGTGCCCTGGCACGAGCCAGTCGTATTGGTTCATGATGTACGACACGACGACGAGCTACACTGGCGCAGAATACGAGAAACACTTTGGACTTTTTGGCATCGACAGGTCGCCGCACATCGCGATGCCGTGATTTCGGAGTGTAAAGTATGTGTGGATGCATGCATGTTAGACTACTGCAGGACGTCAAAAAGCACGTAGCGTTTATTGTTGAGGTCGATAGGTGGATGATCATGCAGAAGCAACAAGTCCCTTAGTGCTTAAATGATCACGTACATTTCGAGTAACTCCAAATGCTCTCATTCTGTCAGTAGATATAAAAGAGCTCACGTTTTGTTTGATCAGAATAACCCTGCACTACGCCACTCACGCTCTGCCATACTGACTATAATATGTACTTGTGTGCCGACGCTATTTATCATTAATCAGTGGTAGGTACACTGCCGAGCTCATTGGCCGTCAAAATGTAGACGTCGCTAGGTACGAAATCGATGTTCTGCCTCGTTGTCGAAGAGTAGCAAGCAAGAGTAAACCACAAAGATTTACTCGTCAATCTCTTGCATATGATCTGGCGGTTACTCCCTTCAAGTAAAGTACATCTCGTGTCAGCTGTCATAATAGATTTTGTTTACATTAGCTCCCATTAAGACCGGCGTCGATAGTAGGGGCCTTTGTGTCGTTCGCTTCCAAATCTGTGTCGATCAGTGATAACAAAACGATTTGCGATTCAACCCACACATCGAGAGAACAACTCTGAGAAATCTATGTGATGTCTGCCTTTTATCATGAAAGCGATCAAGGCATGTTGCTAAGTGACTTCTCCTGCATGATCGCAGATGGCATTGCGTGCACGCCATATCTTCTGACGTGTTCATGTTTTCTTGAAAGCAATGCATGCACAATACCTGTATATCTTGCATTTTCCTGTGCAAATGATTTGATTTTGCTGTGCTTCGAATTCATCTTGACCGGCGGCGTGTCAACGTGCTGTGTCGTGCCTGTGTCAAGTTAGCGACTCAACGACAGAAGTTACTATCATCTTGTAAGCAGCAAAACCTGGCTAATCTGATCCCTACAAAACAAGAGTTAGTGCTGTGTGATAAGATGTCGATCCACAAGCTTCGTTTTTTGAATAATGCATTGAGTAAACTTTTTTTGAGCAAACTTCATAATTAATGAATACATTGGTCGGAATGTGTTTAGTTTTGGCTGATGTGTGTCCCACCCAGTGCGTGGGCACGACCCTTCCCCGAAACTAGCTCGGGCTAAACCTGCCCATGCATTTACAATTGATTTTAGAAAAGATTCTATAACTAAAATATGTGGCTGCGTTCTGTTGGTTGAAGGCGACACGGCTATTTTACAAAGTTGTGCGTCCGCGCTCCGTGGCAGTGAAACATAATCGTATTTGAAATATAAGCACGCGCATAGCTTAAGTGGGTTGACCTGGCAGCATCAAACCTTTATTTTTTGGTCTTTCTGATTCTCGAACCAACGACTACGAAGTCACGAGCTCGAGAATCAGAAGAGCAGGAGTGAGGAAGTTAGGCCTTCGAATCCTCGTGCGGGTGATTTGCCAGCATTGTTGTCCAGATACCGACGTTCCTCACTTTGCAACGTATCGCATCAGAGAAAAAGAGAAAATGGGCCGCACTAGAGAGGAAGGAAGCGATACAATGACTACCGATGGAATTTATGACGCTGGAAAGATCAGCTATCTAAGACACCATGGGAATGGTTAGAAAGCTCACTCACGTCGTACACTACTCTTCTGGCTTTACTGTTTCAATCGCAAGTCCGATCTCCTCTGTCTACGTCCTTTTACCAGGGTATGAGCACAAGCGTCGACTTCGAACTAAAACCCGGTTAACGAGACCAACTACACGTTATGGGCATGCAGGAGAGTCTATGGGATAATGTTGACGGCAGGTCGATTGTTTTGATAGACATAGAGCAGAACGCGCATGCAGCGATTGTCAAACTGAGTCAATGGATTGGACAAGAGAGGTATCTAAACGTGACATCAAGATCACTTGGTTACTCTCTCTATTGTTTGGTAGGCTTTGCTGAGAAGTTTACGGAATCAGCTTTTGTGTCAGGTAGTTCTATTTTATACTCTCATCTCATCACGCTATTGCTGCGATAACATACGCATTTCTACCATGAAAAGTCCCTCTAGATCTGGATAGACATCTGTAAAAATTGATGGCTTGAACTGCAGCCAACTTGCTATAGGTGATAATCTTTGACTGAGCATTGATGACGCTTTAGCTTGTTAACTACGACTCTGTAAGTTTGACTCGCTCTTGGGCCGTGGACACAAATTCAGCGACCTCTTCTGCGCTATTGGAAGGATGTTGTAGTCAGGGCTCCTATCTCCATATCGGTCTCGACGGTGCAGCAATTGAAGTCGCTCAGGTCCATCAGGTCACGGACGCGTAGCTGAAAAGTTTGTGTCAGCAGGCTGGTGCTCAGTTGGTCATCAGGGTATTTACGTGATCTGTGAACGGTCATACATCGAAGCACGAGCCTTGATTGACGATAGAAGTTTAGAATATGATTGCTTTGAAACTCTTGCCGGCAGCATTTGGTCGACTATATCCCCCGTGAGCTGGTCCATCATGTAAATGTTGGTCTGCAATACTTGTTCCTCTACATACAAATTGTGCTCGAACTGGCGATTTTCACACCGAACTTGAATTAATTCGATGATGCTAGCGTCCATGAGCTGCCGATTCACCGTTGCGATTGGCGAAATGGATACGACTGTCACGCTCTTCAAGTCTATAACATTAACAGCATGTTCCGATACATTATCGAGGAAATGGATGATGTTTTGTTTTTGAGTGCGAATGCCGTTGAAAATATCACACAGGGCTCTTCGAAATAGGACACCAGTCATCCAAGCCATGATGTTGCTGCAATAGTAGAAGCCGAGTGGATCCATGTCTTCTTCTAAAAACATTTCAGCTTCTTCGTAAGTCCAACGGTGAACGACACGCGTTTGTCCGAACCGTAACCATTTCACATTAGATGTGTAAGGGGTGAATCGTTACATAACAATTTATTAGAAATTGTTAATAGAATATAACTATAAGAGTTACATTCTCAGAATATTTTCATAAGGACAAATATTCTGTAGCACTTACGAGTAGTTCCCGATTGGTTGATATAGGCCATTATATCAACCAACGAAGACGCGCCACGACAGACGCACGCAATGAGTGGTGAGCAGATAACTGATTTACACATTTGTATTTAGACATAGTTAGATGAAGATAAATAGTGATTTATTGCAGACATTAACTATTATAAATACAGTTCTACTTTTTACTTTAACCAAGTACTCGCTTCTTCTTACCGTCTTCCTCTGCACGTACGAGTGTACGTGAAGTTACGAGGCACCGCCTGATTCTGTCATCAGAATAAGTAGCTTGTACTGTCACCAGTACAAGCTTCAGGGTGCCCCGTTACACCTGGTAG